AATCCACTCCACTTTCACTACTTAACCCTGAACTGCTTATATTCTCTTCTATTAGAATTACTGCTTAAAATTATTAGTTATCTATATACATTTGATGAACTGATTCAGATTTAGGAGTTTTTCCTGTTGCAAAAACTACTTAATCCATGTAGAGCAGAGATTTTTCCTACAGTTAGTTCATAAGGCAGTTTGTCAGGCACTGCAAAGTTAAAATTCCTGAGAAACTATTTCTGTCAGGCTGCTGATTTTAAATTTTAAACTAGAAATTAATAAGTTTAGATCACTGCAAAGTTTTCCACATCCTGCTCTAGGAACCTACTAAAAAGATTTATAACTATCGAACATTGGCTCACTAGCAAGCCAAGTTTCCTGTGAAAAGATAATATCATGTTTTATAATATACTTAATAAAAGTGATATCATTAAGCTTTGGTTTCAAGCCACAACCTTCCAGGAAATAACTGTTAATAGTTATGGAGCAGAGAAATGTCATCTGGTGTAGGATTGAAACTTCATCCTATACATTATTCTTCCAGAGGACTTTCTAGAAGACCTCTTAAAGGACTCAATGGTCGTGCAATAATGATCCCCTGGGGGATTCCACAAGAAATCTTTTCTGTCAAAAGCTAAATCCTTATTGATTCTAATTTTACTGAATAATTAATCAGGTCCTCTGATTTCTCTCTCCTTATTTGAAGTTATTGCAACTCTGGCAGGAATCTTAGAAGTAGTCTAAGTCTAAATAATCAACAACTGCTTTTATACCTTGTTCCATTTCAGTTCTTAATGTTGAAAATCTGATTATTTTTGGCTTAGTTATTGCAGCTTGTTTGTGTGTGTATACATGTATGAGGTAAATTATTGGTGAAACTGTTCCATGGGTCACTAACAGTATATCTCTGAGATCAACAAGCCTCTTCAATTTTCTTCTTGTACATAGCCTGGCAGAGCTCTGGTCCTGACAGTAATGGGGAAATATCACACATATTTAATGTTCTACACTCATACAGATTTATTTTACTTGTAAGATCAGGATAATCACAATTAATACTAATTGATTTTGTTTGTTTATTTGTTAGCTTAAATGAATATATAGATATATGTGTAGCATGTTAGATTTTATTTGTATATTTCAGAGTTTAAATGATGTAAATAAATAAAAATAAATATTGAATTGCATACTCTAAATATGGAATTATTTTAAAAGGCCCATTGATTCAGAAATCATGTTGACTTTGTTCCTTTTATCCTGTGAACAGGACTGGAAAAAATATTTTCTATTGGGAGCATCTAAAATCATTTCCAAGTACAGAATTAGAGCCTTTTGCAGAATATTACCATGGTGAGGAACATTGATGACTTCGATTTTTGCCTTCCATCCCATCCTCAATCTATTCTGGAAGGACTACAGACCCTACGTTCCAACCCCAAACTTTCAGATGTCACTTTGATTGTTGGGGGACAGAAATTCCCTTGCCACCGCAGTATTCTGGCCCTCTGTAGTCAGTACTTCAATGCTATGTTTGCTGGTGACTTTATGGAAAGCTTTTCAGCGCATGTAGAGATCAAAGATGTAGATCCTATCACTATGGAGTCCTTGCTTAATTTTGCTTACACAGGAAAAGTGACCATCAATCAGAGGAACGTGGAAGCCTTGATTAGGACATCCAGCCAACTCCACTTCCCCGTCATCCAAAAAGTTTGCAGTCGGTACTTGAGACAGCAGATGGATGCATCCAACTGTTTAGGCATTTGTGAGTTTGGAGAGATGCATGGCTGTTCAGAGATTTCATCTGAGGCGTGGTCGTTTTTGCAAGAAAACTTTGAACTTGTATCTCAACAGGAAGAGTTTCTTCAACTATCGAAAGAGAGGCTAATTATTTATCTGTCGAACAACCTACTGCAAGTACAAAAAGAACAGAGCCTAGTTGAAGCTGTGCTCAGGTGGGTCAAGTATGAAAAATTGGCCAGAGTGATGCACCTTCCAGAGCTTCTTGACCTAGTGCATTTGGTTTCATTGCCAGATCAGTATCTGCAAAACATGTTGTCATCTGAACCACTGATTCAGGAATCAGAAGCTTGCAAGGCTATCATTGCTAGACATCGGAGCACGGTCAGTGTTTGGAGGTACTATGTATTTTTTGACCCAATTCTAGTTCAGTTTGAAGGCTAGAAGGTAGACAATGGAATTTCTGGACCAGTGATTGGTTTTCTTGCTATATAAATCTGAACTCACAAAATCACCGAGCTTTTATCTAAAATTTGGTTAAACTGGCAAAGACTCATATTCTTGTCCTAGGAAATTTCTTTTTAATAGCCCATCCTGGGCTGGTTAGGAACATTAAGGATTTGGAAACCAAGAAAGACTTGCTACCTAGAAAAACCTCTGGGCTTATTTGTGGCTCAGCTGGCAGATTGAGGGTGGCTGATTGTACAGTATCTGGTAAAATGCACTATTTAGTTTACATATTAATTATAAGACCAACAGATTTAAACTTCTTTACAATAAATGCCACTCCATTTGTTTTCTTGGTATCATGTTCTGAATAGTAGACAGTGGAGTCCTCAGACTGAATTGAATAGATAACATCGTCGTCGTGTTTACACTTGCATTATTTTTTACTAATCAAAGTATTCTTCAGAATAAATTTTGAAATGTTAGAATTGTTATTGTTAAGTGTGGGTCGAGTGAAGAGGCAGGACTCTCAGCTAGTACAACAGTTCTTTATTTGGCAGAACGGTATATACTCTTTTAAAGGGAGCTGTCTGACAGCTCAGCCACTGAGATCTCTTGAATTTTCCCGCCATTTGTTTTTTCTGACTGACAGGCGGACCAGAGGAAAACCTTCACCCAAGGTTTCCCTCCCTATTATGATATTAAACAGTTATTATCATCATAATTAGGAACTCTCTGCAGCACAGAAAGCGACCTGGGGGACAAAGAAAGTAGATTTTAAAAAGTCCCACTGAAATGATCAAATGTAGATGAATGTTCTGTGTTTACCAAGTGGACTGAATGGTAATAGAGGGATATGTGCCCCATAAGACTACCTGATTGAGATATCAGAGAAAGGCATTTTTAAAATGCACAATTCTATTACTTTTTTTCTCTTTTCTTAAGAAAAAAAAATAGTATGCGGTCCAAGTATGTTCAAACTGAAAAATAAGTGGGAAGGCACATGGGAAGAAATCAATGGACTGTACATGCACATTAAGGGCGTGACCCGACAAATGAGCGAACGTCAAAAGCGCGCCGACAAAAGCGCGGTGCTAAAACCGCGATGTCAAAAGCGTGCCGACAACAGCGCGCCGACAAAAGCGCGCCAACAGAAGCGCGATTTAAGTTAAGGTAAGGTAAGGTTTAGGGTTAGGTTTAGGGTTAGGTTTAGGGTTAGGTTTAGGGTTAGGGTTAGGGTTAGGTTTAGGGTTTGGTTTAGGGTTAGGGTTAGGGTTA